TTATGCTAAATGATTCATTTTCCACCAAGAAATGTAATAATAGACAAGTTTTATTTTCACTTTTTTTCAAATTTTGGCTGACTTTTTATACAATTCTAAATGATTTAAATCACTGCACAGGGGGTCCTTATTTCCTAACAATTGAACAAGATCGGGGGGAGGGGGAGTTTATAGGGGCAAGGGCGGTTAATAGGGATTATATGTATTGGCTCGATTTGTCTTGTAGCATTTAGCCTAATTCAGCTGTCCATTTGAAATGTATTGTTGCGATGTACTAAGACAAAAAATGAGTATAAATTGATTCATTATACTTTAATAAGGGCATAATTAGTTTTTTCTATATATTTTTTTTTCTTTTCTTTTTTTAAAGAAAATCAATTTTCTTTATTCACAAAAAAGTAAACATTTTATTATTATTCAAGATATGCACTCAGAGTTCTTGCTATGAGGAACTACACATATGTACAACAAAAAGACAGTTCATATAGTCCGTCTGATTCAAATATTTAAATAAAAACAAAGTCTACTGTTGATGCAAAAGACAAAAAGAAAAAAATTTCAAATCAAAATGAAAAAGAGAAAAAAAAATTTAATGCTGTGTTACACACACTGCTGTGAGCATACTGAACAGGTGGTTAAAACAGAGAAAGCTTTCTCTTTAGACATTTCATTTGGTAAAGTACCACTAACGTCTTCTTTGAAATTTATTAACATTGGTTTTGTTTTATGAAGTGAGTTTTTTTCCATCAGCAGGTAGTTTTATTTCATTGGCAGCCATTTCTATTCAACAGAAGTAGATTTCCTCCATTTTGTAGAGTGAAACCAGTGCATTTTTCTACAGATCAGATAATTGCAGGAAAAAATCTGTTGTCTGATGTATTAATTTTAGTTTATGACTTGGTCGATGCAATCCTGGAGCTTATGTGCTCAATAAAAAGTGGGCGTGGCCTGATTTACAAGGAAGTGATGTGGTATTATTACATTTAAAATAAGTTTTCAAAATTGACTCCTTTTCCACGAAAGGAAAACAATTATCAAATTGATAAAAGCATCTGTTCCTATATACTTTCTGTCATGTTTAGATGTTATATGAAGGAATTGTATGTCAGCAAAATAGCAGTTACAAACAAGTACCAGTAGAATAAGATATATACCATTTGCCAATATTTGTTTTCTTACGTAAAGTTTGAACAGACAAGACTTTGAAAATGGTCTGTTTTCATTTTCTTTCTCCATCAATGTCAGATAAATTTATTATTGAAGCTTTAAATTTAATGATTTTTTTTGTTGATTAATAAATAATAAATAATGAAATATTGTACATGTAAAGTACTGAAAATTATATTCTCCTATCTACATAATATAGAAAAAAGTTCTGAATTTATAAGATATTTTAAGAATGCTTTAGATACTCTTAGGACTATAAATCATAGTAATTTTAAGGGTAAATGTAATCTGTCCTCATGAAGTTCTCATCTTAATACTTTCTGTTTGTGACAGTATCCCACGCATTTTTATATTAATATCGGGGAGTTGTCATGAAATAGTCAAAACAGGAGATTACTGACTATTTAAAGTAGGCTGTCTTGACTTATTAATTACTGAACCCAGACAAAGCCTCACATATTACTCACTGTGTCAGTGATTGATTAAATATTATTAAAAAGGATTGGAAGGGGAGATAATCGAAGTTATATGGCCAGATAAATGTGCTAGAAAAACAACAAAAACAAAAGTAAATTGCATAGATTTGTATAATAAATTGATGAAATTAAATAGGATGGAAAAATTAAAAGATGAAGACTCTTATTTGTGTGCAAATCTGATTTGGCCAGCTCCTAGTAATTTTTACATTTTACTTTTACCCTGTTTCGTACCATGTTTTGCTGTTTTAATTTTTGCCATACATACTGGTATAAGGTACTTTCACTTCAATGTTATTTTTATTTCACCTTAAAAGCACCAAAAATGAAATTCAGTTACATTCACTTCAACATTATTTTTATTTCATCTTAAAAGCACCAAAAATAAAACTACTCTGAGTATAGTTATTTATGAACATCATTAGTTATCCTAAGCCTCTGTAAGCTATAATAAGCAGAGATTGGGAAAAGATTGATGTCTCAGATGAATTGTGTGGGAAGCCCCAGCTGCTCTAGGTAGAAACAGATAGGTTTTTTTGTCTATCATTTTATCTTAGCATTGACCATGGATCCCAGCAATGGGTACTTCATGTTATAGAATCCGTTGCCTTGCTCTTTCATCAAGTCTCTCATGTGCAATAGAATTTGAAAGTAATCCAAAATGATTTATATCTTTAGATATGTTGAACTTTTCCCCTTTTATACTTTGAAGTAAATGATGATTGGAATCCATTTCATGATGTCTTCAAGCTGAAATGTCATATTATGGGGATTCAAATTGTATAGAAGCAGCTAAAAGTTGCTGTAAATCATGTAAATGTCTAGCGTTGCTAGCAGCTACCCGACCTGGTTATTGATCCAGCCCTGTAATGAAGACAGGGAAAATTATAAACTTACAAAAAAACATCTATCTGAACAAAAGGCTTTGATTTTTAAAACTGACTCAATGACATGTCCAGTGTGTGAAGCTACTGTGGAATCATCCAAAGTTCACGGGGATCAAAGTTCGTGGATTTCATTGGTCACCTTTATCCATGAATTTACACCTTCACAATCAATTATTTTGTCAACACATTTATTCATTGAATTTTGAATCTTCTTTCTATATGAGTTACCCACAAAACTGCATCCCAAAGAACCAAGAAAATTTTGCTTGCCCCCAGACATTGACCATCACAGTATATACTTGGTATTTGATAGATTGGTTTCTTTATATATTCCATGCATTTTAGTCTTATTGATTTAGAGAAGCTAAATTCTTTCTAAATCTGATATGTCAGAACTTGGATTCCCTTAGAAGAGGGGAGATAATTGTTTACATTGAGTATCAGATTTATTTAGATATTGACATGTTGTTGAGATGCTGATATGTTACTCCAGTTCAATGACTGTGGAACAAGAGATGAGAGAACATGAAATGTTTCGTCAATTAAGCAGCACCAGAACTTTATTATACAGTCTCCGGCCATTTTTGATCCTGTGGGAGTATTTCGAAGGACAACAATATCTTTATGCATTGATTGTCTTTGCTGGAAATGTTCTTTGTACAGAGATTCCACTATTTGCTTGAGGAAACGAGATACATAATGGCTGTGTCTTTCTTAATTTGCTTCATGTTTTATTGATTAAGCATAAAAAAAATTTTCTCCATCAACAAACAAGAAATTATTCATTTTTTAGATGTGTTTAAAGATTCAAAAGAACAAGTAAATGTAATTTTTCTGGGAAATGTGATTTTTAATTTTGATTATTTTCTGCATTCTGTAATTACCTCCCAAATTTCTAAATTTAGTGCCCTATCTTTTAAGAAATTGGATGTCTCTTTTTTGGTAGTTATCCCATATTGTTCCCGAATGTTGTGGATTTTACATGTATTTCTGACCAGGAAGCTCTTTTGACATGACTTTACCATAGTTTTCCATGTTGTTTTGTTAGTTGTCATGAATGTTGTCACTTATTACCCAGAAACACTTCTATGACTTTCTGGCCCGAGCAGAGCATTTCATATACAATAACTGTACAGTACCCTTAGTATGCAGATAAATATTGTTAAGCTTGCACAAATCTGACATGCACTGTACAGCTGTATTGGTTGAGCTTTGCAAAGTTTGTAGTATACACTGTATGAAACAAGAAAATCAGTTAGTATATTTCAGTTGTTTAAATTCAATGAGTACAGGATCGAGATACAAATTTGTTAAGTCTACAAATTTGTTTGGAGAATCTGCTGTTGACAGGCTAATGAAGGCCATGCACAAGAAGATGTAATCGGGCTTGATTCTCCGGAAATCATCTAAAACTGTTCACACACAAAAATTTATCACTTACCATTGCTAAAGGAAATTAATAGATTCTGGTGGTGTTGCTGCTGACAGGGGATTTTTTCTCATTTTATGGTCTTAGGTCAGGATATTTCTACATGAGCTGATTTTCATGAACTAAACCAAACTGATCTGCAAAGATAAAATAATTTATAAAGTTATTTTTAGCTCAACTGAGCCAAAGGCTTAAGTGTGCTTTAATTCTGATCACATTTTATCTGTCATCCATCAATCTGTCCGTCTGTCTGTAAACTTTTCATAATCGACTTCTTCTCAAGATTGGGCTATTTTAACCAAAATTGGGACAAAGCATCCTTGGGTGAAGGGGAGTTACAAAAATTTTAAATGAAGGGCCAAGTCCCCTTACAAGGGGAGATAATTAAGAAAAGACAAAAATAGGGTGGGGTCATTAAAAAATCTTCTTCTCAAGAACCACTGGGCTAGAAAAGCTGAAAGTTTTGTGGAAGTGTCCTGGGGTAGTATAGATTCTAAATTGTCCAAATCTAGACCCCTGAGGTAAGGTGGGGTCAAAGTAGGTAATTGGGGGGGGGTCTGGTAAAGAACAACATGGCAAAATTTACTCAGGTGACTGATATGACCCATGAGCCTGTTGTTTTTTTAAACAGTAGTATTATATTGAGATTATTTTCACCTAAAAATATATTATTATAACTTTTTTATAATGTCATGCATACGTGAATATATATATATATAGAGAGAGAGAGAGAGAGAAAATGATGCATGCATGTGGCTACTAAGACAAAATAAATGTGACTATGCTGTCATTATAATGACTTAAAAGATACTTTATGAATCATCACTTTTTACATCACTTAAAATAATGTTAGCACCTGGGCGAAATGTCAAATATATCATATCTAACAATCAGGCGTTTGATTGGTGATCAATCTGCACCTCCCTGACTTTAAACACGCTGAGGTTGAACTCTGGTTTGTTATATGTACAAAGTAAAACACTGATAGATTACCTGGAAGTCAGGTTTTGAAAACTTATAATTGTCTTTTACTATTTGCAGATAACAGGACATACAAAGTGCTAATAGAAGAATATGACACGAGTAAATCAACCTACGCAGTGCGACATACAGAGGAACAAAAAGGTTGGTCTACGAAATCAATATGACAGGGAGAAAAGGTCAGCTTTGACTATTGACCCAACACTTATTTGCATTAGTATAAATAAAGACTGGTTTCATAATAAAATGTATCCAGGATTCCATTTAAGAGACATTGCTTTGATGCAGCCAAAGCAGGGACAATATATTACACTGATCAATATAGAATCTGCCTATAAGCCTATTTTTAGCTTTTGTATCCAAGAAAAACCATCAAGGTGCCCTATTTGGCCTGTTGTTTTGTATGGTTAATTTATCTTTGAAAAAAAGTATTTTAGCATGTTCATAGTTAATAAAAAAATGGTAAAAGTGGTAGAGAATGGCTAGTGTTAAGTTTATAATTAGGTATGGGCAGTGAACTAGTAATCCCAGAATGTCTAGCGTAATGTGATCCTACCGGTAATAGCATTAGAGACCTTAATTTACCATTGTAGCAGCTGTTAGCATCTGATCTTTCTCCAACAACAAGTCTAGCAGCTTTGTCAGCAGAATTCTGCATACTAGAAAATAATTTTGGTCACAAACAAATCAAAAGCTTCGATGTGTAAATGTACACCTGATATATTTTGTTACATGTATTGGAAAATGACAGTGTTTTAAGATGAGCTTGGTCATTTTACTGAAGGGTACAAAGGAATAAAGGTACAAAATATAACAGTACGGAATGGAATATATTGTTAGATTTCTTAATATTGTAAACTTTTTCAGTAATCAAGACCTACTTTATCAATGGGTACAAGAATGAGATGGGACAAGAAGGCAGTGAAGGAGGGGATCCAACATCTAGCAACCAGCAGGGAGCGGATGGTGTCGGGCATGTGGAGGGAAATCCCGAAGACTTAGATGAGGTGGAAACATCTATAAATATCGCAATTAAGAAATACTATGTCCTACTCAGAATCATGTTTGCCTGACTAAATTTAGATTTCACCTTTGATTACATCTTTGCTGGCCAAGAGGAGAAGAGTAGATTGTCACCCTTGGCTAGCGAAGATGCTTTGATTAAGATAGGTTTCAAAAGTTCATTACCAGCCAAAATTATGTTATTATTGAAATAATCAAGCCTTTAACAACATTTATGGTGATATAGTATATCATTTAACACTTTCAAAAGATATAGAGAAGTAATAGATGAATGCATATTAAAATCATGAATTGACACCTAAGTTAGAGAACTTTGTGCTTTCAATGCAAGCCTTGGCATATAACACCTCTAAGATTTCTTGTGGGTCCATTTTTATTCAGTGTCAATTTCTTTACTCTAGCTGGCAGCATAGGCATTGACAAGCACTGATTTCTCATATCACTGAAAACTAATAATGAGGCATCAATTTGACAGCTCTGGTGCTTAAATTAATATAATTGCAGTAAACCATATGCATGACATCATGCCAATATGCATTTATCACCACCTGTTTCACAAGTGCATTTAGGTCAAACAGTTACTTAAGGGCCTATTTAAAATACACAACTCACATCCATTCTTTTCAGTTTCAAGGATTTCCATCCCAAATAGGACCAAATTTTCTACCCTTAAATGTCTATCAAGTACATAATACCCTGATATTAAATTAAAGCACTTTATAGTAGAAAAAGGTTGCCCATAAGAAAGATTAAAAAATTTCATTAATTAAGCATTAATTAATTAACAAAAATTTCATTGAAGTCTTTGAGAAAAGTTTTTTAAAAATAAAAATCCAAATAATAGGAATATCATTAAATACTGCAGTGGAAAGATGCATTGAAACATTAGAAATAGAATGACAATTTAAAATAAATTTTTGCCTGGATAATTTTTTTAATTGATTTTTTTTTACTAATTGGAAGTAGAAGGAGATAACTCTTACCAAAATTCAAGGTAATAAATTTGTACACAATAAATGGGATTTGTGTCTAAATATACAGAGTATTCAACACCTACACATCTGTAATGTATTCAATTTCATTAAATCTGTTGCTATTAGGGATTGAATACCTTAACCCTTTAATATTAGCATTTTGTTTCTTAAAAGTGTCTAAAGACAGTCTGGTAGCTTTATTTTCTAAGTGTATGTTATTTCTTTTTTTTTCATATCTTGCATTTACCCATCCTTGTATATATTTGATGTTCTCACATCAAATAACAACTGGTACATTTTTTGTACCATTTTAAGTTGAGAATTTTAATTCTGGTTATAGTGTATTAATAAATTTTGTGGTTGAATTTGGGGAAAAAACTGTGTGTAGATTTGACACTTGTGTGACCCAATTAGCAGACAACTAACCAAAATAAATTTATGAGCTTCATGAAGTTTCTAATTACCTGTTCAAAAAGATACATAAATTGCTTCATATTTTTAAGGACTGGATCAATTCGATATTGAAACATAATTCTAAAAAATTACTTCATTGACTGCATATTTGAATTTAGATTACCTTAGAGTGATTCACATGTTAATTATTACAATTTTATCATCAAAGATATGCTTTATTACAGTACTATTGATAGACCATAAAGGCAGTGTTGAATCAAGTGGTCCAAAAAAATGGGCTAGCATGACAACCTCCATTTACTTTTCTGATAACCAAATAAATCAAACAATTGGTCTCTCCTGAGATAAATATTTCAGGCTAACAAATGTATCTCAGCCCATTGCTTTTTCCATTCCAGTCTTGTTGTCCAATATTTGTTGTATGTGCAAATTATTTTTCTACTTGATGAAATGGTCTTGGAGTCGAGGAAATTTGATTTTTGGTCCGATATGCAGAAAAACAGATTGTTATGTAGAGTTCAGAATAATTTAGCAATATTCCACTGTAATTTCACAGAAAAAGATATGTAAGGGAGGAAATTAGTTTAGACACAGTAGCATTTGATTGCTTTCTAATGGGGAAGAGTCACAGAGTACAATGAAGCATGTGAGGGAATGGGAATTCTTTGATCTTAAGTGGTTTTTCATGAAGCTTAATTTGTATTGATGGCATTGGTATTAATTAGAAATGTTCAGGCCATACTAAAGAAATTATTTGCTATTTTCAGGGGAACAAAAGATACATAGGCTTTTTATATGAAAAACATGTAGCTGTATATATAACATACATAAAAAGAAGCTGAAGCTTTGTACAAGAGATGACCCAAAAGTGATTTCACAACAATACTGTACTATAAAATGTTAATGTTATGAAATGTTAGCAACAAATCTTTACTTACTTTCACGATTTTTTGCGTAAAAAAAGTATTAACGGTAAATTATATGAAACATTACATCATAGTTTACAACAAAGTGAAATGAAAATGAAGATTTCTTTTGATTATAAAAGTTTTGTGGGCTGGGAGGAATAACAAAAATAGGTCTGTCATGAACAAACATTATTTTAATTTAGGCCCTTGGACAATGTATTTCCTGTGAAGACTGCTCATTATCTTAAGAAGTGTTCATTTGAGTATAAATCTTGGAATCCTTATCTTTACCACTCATTAATTCGGTCCCTTCTGCAGGCTATATTAGTTCAGTCCCACATGTTGCCATAGAAACCATCATTTTTTGTCAATCATAAACAGGTTCATACTTTTTAATTAATATATTTTTTAATTTCCTCTACAAAACACATCTTTGAAGTTTTTTATTTCAATATTTATTTGTCAGTTTATTGGTTTCAGTATTATTTATATGACAGATAATTTAAAGCAGATATACTCATGCACCAAGAAGACATTTTCTTATTATTAACAAAAATTGATCATGCTTTATTTAAGACTAGATCAAAATCTTTGATTTAGCACTCCATCTATTAGATTTATAGAAATCCAGGACCTCATATTATAAATGAGCATTTCATTGTAATGTTAATATGTAGGGTACATGTATGTACTTAAAAAAGTGGGCTTCATATTTTAGCGGCTTTGGCATGGATATTGATGCGGTATCTTATGAATACAGCTAAGAAATCATATATAAATAATTATACAGCACAGAAGTGTGTAGCACTAATTCATAAATAAGACCACGGAACATTAACTGGTATTCAATGTATAACGACCATATTTTGTACCTAATACATGGATGGTCCGATATTTTTAATCATGGTAGCATTTTAAAGATGTTATCAAATAAAAATGCTCCACCAAAGGAATTTACAAAATTTTGATTATTGTCCAATAAATTTCACCTTGAATTTTACATTGAAGTCTATGGGCAGCACATGTTTTTATAAAATATTGTAAAAAGTAATTTGAATTTCAAATAAATCTCTTGGTGTGAAATTCTTTATTTTCATGAATCCACTTGAGCTGAAATTTTGAGAAAGCAAAAAGTGTGAATGTGTGATAACTCTTCAAAAAGAATGTGCAAAATGAATTTCAATTTGGTTCATGTCAAATACATTTTTAACTAGTTTAAAAATATTTTATTATCCCTTCTATAATAATGCAAGATTTATAGCCTATCTATCTGTTAATATATTAGACAATGAAATATGGACACTTGTGAAAAGTTTGAAGTTCATTTTCAATCCAACTGAGCTCATGTTTTCAAAAGCAAAAGACAAATAATTTCAATTCCCAAATACATGTTGGTTGAATTTTATACTATAATAATGAGTTTATAGCCTATAATATATTCTTATGGACACTTGTAAAAGTCATAGAAGACATTTTTACTTTTTCTTTAATGAAAAATGTCGAGTTGACAAGCATTGTAGCAAATAATTTTTAGGATGACAAGAGCTTTTATTTCCAAGGTAATTAAGCCCCCCCCTCCCCACCAACGCACACCAACGCACACATAACACGCACATGCAGGCCAAACAGAAATCAAATATTTGTCCCTTCATATATTCCTTTAAAACGCTGGATTGAAAATTCCGATTTATGTATTATTTTCAAACTATACCGAAATTGAAATTATTTGTTCTCTGGGTCAATCAGTAATGATGTGCCTTTTAGCGTAGCTGAGATGGATTGAAAATGAATTTCAAACTAGAATTTCAATCCAATGTTTTTCTGACCGTCCGCGTCGAATTGTATCCGCCCATTTCATTGTCTATCATTGAATGTTTTGATTGTAACAGATAGAAATGACGTAAGCTGTATATTTCCAATCTTGCCAGTTAATGTTCCGCGCTCTTATGCCAACAACTCAATACTCAGTGATTGTGCTAGATTTTGAATACATGTACAGTAGGTTCAAGAGAGATAACTCAATGTTTATGATTCAACTCTTCTTTTGCAGTCCTCAGAAAAACACAGACTCTCTAACCACTTTGAATCAAAGGTATGTCTTTTTGAATTGAGTATTACAAAACATTATGGACATTAAGATTCATATTTGTTTTCAAAATTTAGAACATATTTGTGACTGTTTTGCATATGATTGAAAATTGTTTGATATAGTAGTAGATCGAAAGATTTTTACATTTTCACATAAACTTCAAGTTCTGTTTTCTTTGATGCCCAGTTATTATTACATATTACAACAAGACAAAGATGTAAGTAAAAAGATTTTTAAAAAAGAAGATATTTGAGGTAAGGGAGAACAGAAATAAAAAATTTTCTGTATTCAACATCAACAAAATATAATGACTGAAGATAAGTTTTTCAATCAACTATCATTTCTAGGTCAAAAAGATATATGTACCGGTATTGCCTAATTACTACCTCAGTCTGAACTTTAGAAAAGCAATCATTCTGAGATTTTGCTTCCTTAATATATATAACAATAATTTTACAAATTTTCAGGGCTCGGATGTGAATGGTATTACCCGTAACCTGCTCTATAGAAGGAGAAGTGCCAGCGATGTCTCCCTGGAACAGGAGAATGGTAACGCTTGTGCTTTTGGCTTTCTTTCTGCTAGTATCACTTCAGGCCTTGTAATCATCTGTGATATTAAAGTGAGGCATAGTACCACTATAGCAGCCAACTAATGTGCATTGCTGCTCTCTGCTGAAATTGGATGCAGCATTATAATATATTAAAAATTTAGTGTTTAGAATTGTAAGGTAAATGATAAGTCATAATGCACAATTGTTCTGCTGTATGTTAAAACAATATATACTGAAGTGCACTGCTGAAGGAATCACTGCCTAGTTTGTTGGTTATGCCAGGGCATCAACGATAGTTGGAAAATTTCTACATAACGGGTGTTTACAACTATCATTGATGTCCCTGGCTTACTAAACAAATTAGACAGTGATTCCTTATATTTACATTTATATGTGAAATGAAATTGTAAATATACCCTGGTAAATATAGAAGTGCTGTCTATTAGATTTAAAATACACAAGGCTTCACGTTAATTTCAATAGTCCACACCCACTGACATCAGACACAAACACAGCCGCAAGAGATTGACATGTACGTGTATGTAAGGCTCTGACCTTTCACATCTCGAAAATTAACTTTCCTGTTGAATTATCAAGAAATCAATTCACCTAACTTTCAAAGAGTTATCACAGAGAAAACAATTAAAAGTGGAAAAATTTCAAACCTTACGTAACAAGATTTTGAGTCCCATGATAGATCAGTTTAGGGGAAGAAAAGGGAAATAAGTCTGATTGAAGGAATCAGAATTAATAATACTACACTGATTTAAAAGTTAAGTTTGAGTAAAGGCTCTACCCACAATGTCACTAGTAATTTCTAAGGTATAGGCTACATTCCATCTAAGTAAGCTCTGCTTACAATGTCATTGAAAGATGAAGGCATTCTGTTTCCATATAAGTATGCTTCATTTGAGCTGAATTTTTTGTATGCTTTAAAAGAGTTTGCCTATAGTTGTAATAGTGTAAGGCTGTAATTCTTCAATCCTTTAGTGCTAGAGCAACATTTTGAAGAGTAAACTATCATGATCAGGTGTAACAGAAAATATGTTTGATTATGGTTACCTTTGGCCTCGCTTGATATCACAGAGTTGATGATTATTTGAATCTTTATTCAGGAAATAATTATAATTTAAATTTAAAGTCTAGAATTGATGATATGTTTAAACATATTTTTCATGAAATATGTCGAAAACAAATGAACAACAAATTGATTATGGTTATCTTTAAAAACCAGTAATCAGTCTTGTCAAATTTCATGGCAATGCTAGACAACTCTTATTTTTAGTTGAGCTTTTTATATAAATTGCTCTGGCACAGCTAGTTGACATTGTCCCAGTATATCTACATACCATGCACATTATAACCTTTTCTCTGTTTAATGGCTTAATTTTCTTCTGAGATGAAAGTGTTTAGTCTGACCCTTTGTACATGTTCATTTTGAGAGAGCCTCACTTCAGAATAAATATGACTCAGTTAAAATTTTAGTCGTATTTCAGTCTGCAATGTGCAGCTATATTTACTGATGAACTTTGGTATCTCAAACTATTAGAATCATTCTTTACTACAAATGTGGGATGGTGAAATTCCACTGAGGGGACAAGACTCGCAGTCCAGGATGAGACTATGCTAAGTCTCGTACTGTGATTCTTGACCCCTTTTGGAATTTTAACTTAGAAATTAAACTCCAATCCATGAGCCAAAGGTTAAAGTGGGTTTTTCTGATCAAAATTTGTCTGTTGTCATCACTGTTGTTAAAATCAATTAATACAGAAGCATCCTACGGTAGTGTAGATTCAAGTTTGTTTAAATCATGAACCCTGGAATAGAATGGGGCCACAACAGGGACTCAGAGTTTTATGTAGGAATATTATAGGATATATTTTTTGAAATTTTATTTGAACAGCAAAACCATGATTTGTCATTATAATATAAATGCATCCTCAGATAGTGTGGATTCAAGTATATTCAAAATCATATCCCTCAGGGGGTACGGTGGGGACAGGGCGGGTCTCAATAGATTTCGTTTGATGTCTCAGAGCATTTTTGGCTCAAATGAGTTTGAGATAACAAAGTTTAACACAATTGTAACTTTGCAGCTTTATGCTTGTCTAAACTGCAATACCAAAACCAAATTATCATGCTCAAGCTATTTTGTAAGCTCAGCTCATCAAAATCAAAGAATTAAAATTAGTATCGAATAAAATATGGTGTACTTGTGTGAAAGAGAAATTCGCCCCTAGCTAAACTAGTGGATTGTTAGAAGTATTTCTTTACCTACACTCTTGCCAATGGTGCTAGTATTGCTAGTCTTTGATAAGTAATGATTTCTTTTGGAAGTTGTGAATTTTAAGAAAAAATGTATATTTTGACATGTAAATTATTAAAATATTTTTTTTAAATAATCTCAAAATTGCTACCAAATAACCCAAAGTTATTCAAATTTTATTGAATTTATTGAAGATATTGTTTTAATTGTAGTAATTTATTTCTAAATAGTTGATGAAATGGAGAAAGTTCTTATATACTTTAGATAATATTATAATTGCATTAAACAGGGAAAATTGAAACACTTGTCACCATTGATCCCAGTTTACTTATCAATAATGGCTCAGGAATCACGACTGGAGAAACAAAACTGACCAATGACACACAAGAACACAGAAAAGGTCACTAACAACAAAGTATATATGATCATTTAATCATATCATCTGTACAGATGTGTGGCCTCATTATTATTTTAAAAAATGATACAAGAAAATGATAAACATCATATTCAGGAAAGGGGGGGGGGTGTAGGACAAGGCCACAATAAAAGTTCAATCAAATATCCTCTAAGACTTACATGGTGTAATAATAATCCAGCATATAGGGGCTATTTACTGTCAAAATGATCCTGTAGGACTTACATATGATAGTGACAATCAGTATCATATGTTGGAGTTATATATTATACAATTATAGCCGTTTTTAAGGTCAGTAGGATGATTTAGACACCTAAGGAGTACAATATTCACTGAGCCCAAAGGAGTACTACAAAGGTGGCTAAACCATTGTAATGACGGCAAAAAACAGCAATAACCATTTTATTTTATGATCAAATGATAGCAAACTACTACTAGACCATATTTTTGCTATAATTGAAAGTTTTAATGAGAAATTTCCACAAAAACACATTGTACTGTAGCAGGAAAAATGGAACAGGAGTAATTCATGATGTCGACCTGCAGTAATTCCTTACATTGACCTGGAAGGTCACATGATTAATTATACTGACCTGCAATAATTCCTTAAATTGACCTGAAAAGTAACATGCAGGTCAATACAGTGTAGTATTTTTCTAACATTGTTGGATTTCAGCCAATCAGAAAGAGGAAAATTATTCAATCATATAATAATCTGAATTATGATCCTATAGGATTTACATGGTGTAATAATCCAGCGTTATGTTGGAATTTTGTAAGAATGATCCTGTTGGATTTACATGGAGTTATAATAGTCCTGTAGGATGTAGGAACTATTTACTGAATTATGATCCTATAGGATTTACATGATCAGGAGTTATAATAGTCCTGTAGGATGTAGGAACTATTTACTGAATTATGATCCTATAGGACTTACATGGGTAAGGAGATAATAACTATGTAGATGATCCTGAATGAATTAAAGACTGATGCATGGTGATCCTGCAAGGACTGTAATACTGTATGGATGATTTGATGATTTTATAGACTGCAAACTGTTAAACAGGTCGAGACCACCAGATTTTTTGACGTTAGCATAAATTTGCATGTAAATTAGCTATCTGTTTACTTTACCTACTGCTGAATGAGCCGCAGTGCATTGTGGGCTACTACAAGTACCCAGCTGTGTTAAAAATAAAGGGCAACTTGAATTGTCCCTTGGAAACTTATTTTCAATTCTTTTTTGAGATTTGTGAAAGAAATATTTAAAATGAAGTATAATCTTTCATTTCTATGCTCACATTTACAAAATGTGCTTTATGAAGCCTTATATCAACTTATAATACATTGGCCTAAACCATTGCTCAAAGAGACATAGGTGCTATTGTGTCGATAAAACATTGAATATTTTTTCACGTGATATACGTGTACATAGTTTTAGCAGGTAGTGTATAGGTCCTTGGTTTTAGACAGCAGGAGAAGGTGTGCAATTATTATTTAACCCCTCAATATTATCAGAAAGTGTTTTATGTACATGCAAACGTCAAAGCGTTTGTACGGTATTGGAAGCAACTATTACTCATCTAAAACAACTCCAATATTAAATGTGAGCATGGAGCAATGTCTTTAGAATATAATCTTTCAATTTCTGTCTTAAAAAGTGAAAAAGAAGCTCTACATTTTTTCCTGTGACGAGTTAAATATTGTGCAGTAAATCGACGAAAACCACTTGTCGCCATTGAATCGTTAACATGTAGTAGACTCTCATGCTTTGGGACTCATTCACTTGATTGGAGAACAGGTGTGACGAAGACATTGTCACGTGTTGAAAATTGCCTTCCATATAAGGTAGTGGTCTCGACCTGTTAAAGGGAATATATGTATTGGACTGGTCAGATTATATCCTGTGGGAGTCACATCATATCCAGCATTGATATTCCTAAAGAGTTACATTTGAGAAATTATCCAATAAGAGTTGCAAGTCATGAAAAGAAGACAGTACGGTTTAAGCTTTATTATGCCCTAAAAATTTAATGCTCTTAAAAAGTTATGAAATTGGCTTTAACAATAGTTGAGTAGTTGAATATAATAGATCACTAAAGAATATGGCATGAAGAAGAGCCTTTCTTGAAAATATGATGTCATTAATTTGGTACATTTTTAAGTTTAATGCAGAAAAGCTTCAAAATGACTCGTTTTTCTGCTAATTTTCCTTTAGAAAATAGTGTCTGCCACCGTCGCCCGCTTTAATTTTTGGATATATTAAGCAAACAGCTATGAAAAATCACATATCTCCAAATCTTCCCAGGCGACGGAGGTAGAGTATGTTTTCTGAAAGAAAATTCCACTGAAAATTGAGGTCTTCTGCAACTTTTTAAGAAAATACGGGAAAATGCACAAGTTAATGACGTCACAATTGGCATTTAGAAGGTCATATGAGAAAAACCATTTATGTATTCTTACTGTAGAGAATTCCTATAATTCAGAAAGAATTAATTTCAATTTCTTATTTCACTTTCATATTTTCGAAAAATATAGGGCTTTATTTGTATTGAAACTGTACCTTCTTCTTTAAACAAGTTGGCTGTTACAAGTATTCCTGTGCAAGATACAAAAATCATAAACATTACACATGCATCTTTAATAATTTGGAGTACAAGTCTTTTTCACCTTTTAAAATCCAAGAATTAAAATACGTTAAAGTTCATAATATTTCTTTTTATTATTTCTGTATGCTACAATGAATTCTGTTTCTTTTGTTAACAGAGGAGGAGACGAGAGACGGTGAACATGGTAAATACATGAACGATAAACAGATCATCAAACTGATCAACGAGGACAGTACAAACCAGGAGTTCTTCTACAGACCCCCCATTCACGCCCTGACCCTGGCCTTCACCACAGCGGAGATGGAGACGGACTACCGGGACCACTATCTGGAGGACACCCAGAACCAGAACACCGTCTCCTCACCCCGATACCAGGCCCTCCTGGAAATCATCGTCGCCTTCATGGTCTTCGGGATCACCTCCGTCTGCTGCTTCCTGATCTTTGAGAGGCAGATTCCCTGGATCCTTGTCTTCATTATCTTCCTGATTCTGGAGATTCTCTGCCTGATCCAGGCATTTACTGATGTCAGATATAAAGAGAGGAAGGTGGAGACTTGTCCTAGCTGCACACATCTGATGTCGGGGTGGTACTTCAGGAACCTGATAGGAGCAGTGGTCACCAGTATCCCTGTGTTAGCCGTCTACTCCAACCTCTCCTGTGAGATTGCCATCAGCACATTCTCACAGGACCATTTCTTCTGCTACTGCATTGTGATGGCTCTTCTGCACTACTGTAACTACAACATGATCAGTTCCTGGGTCAAGTCCATTGTGGCATCACTTGCAGGAATTGTTATTCTTGTCTTGTTGTATGTTCAGCTCTGTGTGTTTAAAAACAACCCTGGAACAAAGTCCATGGTCAATGGAACTTTTGGTTACTCCAATACAACAGATATAAGCATCAGTACCTTGGTTACAACCATTGCGCCAGATGCCACAGTAGTTCCACCACTGTTTTCAGGAGAGCACCCTCTGCAGTTTGAGATCATATTGGACATTATTCTGTTACTCATTCTGGTTTTCTTTTTGAACAGAGAATTTGAAATCAGCTACAGGTTGTCCTACCATGGAGACAAACAAGCCTCAGCCAATAAGCAGCAAATGCAACTGAACAAGGAGCAAGCTGATTGGCTGCTTCACAACATTATCCCTAAGCATGTCTCAGAGCAGTTGAAAGGAGAGAATTGCCAGTACTCCAAGAACCACAAAGATGTTGGAGTCATTTTTGCTGCCATTGTGAATTTTAATGAGTTCTATGATGAATCTTATGAAGGGGGAAGAGAATATTTGAGAGTGTTAAATGAACTAGTGAGTGACTATGAAGACTTGCTCAATCAACATAGATTCAAGGATGTAGAGAAGATAAAGACTATCACCAGTACCTTTATGGCTGCCTCAGGCCTCAACACACAGTCCAGAATGGAGAACAAGCATCCCCACGCCCATCTCTTTGCTCTAATGGAGTTTTCCATGGAAATGCAAGAGGTGGTGAAAAGATTCAATGAGAGTTTGTTTAACTTTGACTTTATACTCAACATAGGGTACAATCATGGAGAGGTCACAGCGGGTGTGATAGGGACAACTAAACTGTTGTATGACATCTGGGGGGACACGGTCAACATCTCCAGCCGTATGTATTCTACAGGGGTCAAGGACAGAATCCAGGTCCCAGAGGCATGTCTCAAGCTTCTGGAAGAGGTGTTTGAATTTGAATATAGAGGAACCATTCAAGTTAAAGGAAAGGGAGATATGAAGACATACCTTCTGAAAGGCAAGAGAGATGGCGTCCACTGGGAGTAGGGATCTATGATGGCATTTTAATTATTCTTTTTAATTAAGATTCAGTTAAATCTGTTGGATGATATATTTTTCTTATTAAATGAATTTTCACAGGTTTTTCTAAATCTGTAGATACCAGTTTCATTGAACTCGCTTTCAATGTTATTATGTTGAAATATTTATTAATGTTTATAATTATAGCTTTGATATTGAAAGAATTTCCAGGATCTGTCATGAAAAAATTTGGCAGATTTTTTCTACGGGTAGATGGTTGGTTGATCTCCATGAACAAATTTGTCATAAAGATGTAGCAACCCTTACTTTAACATGCTTAAACTGTGAAATCTTCCCCAGCAAAAGTGAAAATTTGTTGAACTAGACCAATATGAATATCTTAAAAAATAGAAAATATTTCTGTATGTTGTTTTTTACCTCTTTTAAAAAAGATTCTTCCTAAGGTATTTTAAAAAATACTTTTTTAAAGATAGAGATTTTTCATTTATATTTAACAAATCTTTTTAATATTAGTAAACATGTAGAAATTGATAGAATTCCTTCATACTGCTTAAATATCTGAATATATGACAATTTATTACTGACATTTTTTTTTATTATTCTCTGTTGTAAATTACGAAATTTGCTGGTCATTGTGATACCATGTGAGCTATTTAACTGCTTCTCTACTCTACAAAATGATGCTTTACTGAAATTTTTAGTGATATTTAATTATTGTGTGTCATGTGTTAAATACATAGGATTTTTTTAAACAGTCATAAACCAATCTAAGAAAAATGTTTGAATGTATTACAAAATAGTACTAGTAGTTCAAACTTCAGAAATAATTATGTACATGTAGTACTGTTGTTTTGTTCAGGAGATACATGTTTATATACTTTTTACCACTTGTGTAACCAATTTGTTTGTATTGTACATGTATCACTTTGATGCTGCTTATATGATACAAAACCTTAGAGCTCTACGTAACTTGTCAACCAAATCAATTAGTTTACAACTTTATTTGAAGTCAGATAAATACTTGTAGATATATGGACATATTCTACTCTTAGCAGTGTAATTTTATAGTATATACAGTAGAATCTCATAAATGTTGCAAAGAATACTGTAGATCACTAAATTTTCGCGACACCTTATTTTCGCGAGATAGTCATTGACTCTTGATTAGCAAGACAAAATTTTCGCGAATTGTGGTTATTGTTCTATATATTCTTAAGGAATACTATTATATGCGAGAATTAAATTTTCGCGAGCACACTGCCTCGCGTAATTACGCGAAAATAAAGTTCTCGCGAATAAAAAGTGATTTACAGTAGTCAGAAGTTAATTTTAAAACACACTGAATTTTAACTGACATATTGAGCTGCTTGGACTAAAAAAAATCATGTAACTGGATTTTTTTTAAATGAATGAATCCAGAAGTTATATTTAAAAAAATTAGAGCATCATTTGTACTACCTTGCATCTTTAACCCTAATATTGTGTTGTGTTGCTGTGAACATTAACTTATCCAGAATCCTTGTGTGAAAACAAAACCTATGTATATTTATTTATTCTGTACAGGTTACATGGGGCCACTGTTTTGAGTTACGGTTCTTGCTAATGATGTGTCAATCGTATAGGTGTCTTAATATAAATATTTATGTTTTTAGAAGTCACTCAAACTTTTGAAGTTTTATTTATAAGTTTATGAACTGTTGCTGTCATACAGTGAAATGTATGAAGGAGATTCATGAAAAGCTGTTCTATTTGTAGCCCCGTCACCAAACATTATAACATTACTTTTAACATTAAATGATTAATGTGATATTTTTTCCTTCAAAAGATGTATAGATCTTTTTATCCTATAGTAAGATTTTGTTGCATGAAATGAAGACCTACTTTATTCTGAACTTGAAAAACAAACATTACATGTAGTTTTGTAATGTATATATATAACACTGAGATAGTGCTAACAGTGCATTTTTAGAAAATGATATTTATGATATTTATGAGCTCTGTACTTTTTATGTAAATGCCAAAGAATCTAAGGGTTTCATGTGTGTTTTAAGCAATTCTTTCCAAGCCATTGAACCAAATATAGAAAAATTATAAGAAATTTGTATTTTATACAAATTGATATATATTTAACACATTTAAAAACTTTTTTTCCCCAAACAAAACCTTAAATGAAGACAAAAGATAGGATACACTATTTTTAGCAAGTCTTTGTAATATTATTGGAATGTATTTTTAGCTCACCTCAACGAAGTTGGGGGGAGCTTATGTGATACCCTCGGCGTCGGCGTCGGTGTCGGCGTCGGCGTCGGTGTCGGTGTCGGCGTCGGCTTCGGCGTCCCGGGTTAAGGTTAAGTTTTTTGGAGCAGTTTTCTTTTTAAGTACTTCTATGTCCTATATTGATTAGACATGCATGGAAGATGTTGCTAGTGTGTTTCATTGTACCAGTCAAAGTTTCAGATGCTGCAATTTCAGCAAAAGAATGACCAGGTTAATGTTTTTGGTGCAGGTTAACATTTTTGGTGCAGTTTTTGGTGTAGGTCTCATTTCCGAGTAACTATAAGCCCTATGTTGACCAAACTTACATGGATGATACATCTTAGGATGCATACTACCAGCCTTGCTTCGGATGCTGAATCTGACCTACATTTTCCGGTTGAGTGAACAGGTTAAAGTTTTTGGTGATGGTTTCATTTTGAAGATACTTTGAGCCCTATAATGACCAAACTTGCATGGATGGTACATCTTAGGATGTATTCTACTAAACTTGCTTCGGATGCTGAATCTGACCTACATTTTCCGGTTGAGTGAACAGGTTAAAGTTTTTGGTGCAGGTTTCATTTCCAAGTTACTATGAGACATATAATGACCAAACTTACATGGATGATACATCTTAGGATGCATACTACCAGCCTTGCTTCGGATGCTGAATCTGACCTACATTTTCCGGTTGAGTGAACAGGTTAAAGTTTTTGGTGAAGGTTTCATTTCGAAGATACGTTGAGCCCTATAATGACCAAACTTGCATGGATGGTACATCTTATGATGTAATCTACTAGACTTGCTTCGGATGCTGAATCTGACCTACATTTTCCGGTTGAGTGAACAGGTTAAAGTTTTTGGTGCAGGTTTCATTTCCAAGTTACTATGAGACATATAATGACCAAACTTGCATGGATGGTACATCTTAGGATGCATATTACAAGACCTGCTTCGGATATATCTGACCTACATTTTCCGGTTGAGTGAACAGGTTAAAATTTTGGGTGCAGGTTTCATTTCCAAGGTACAGTACTATGAACCCTATAACGACTAAATTGCATGGATGGTACATCTTAGGATGCATACTACCAGACTTGCTTCGGATGCTGAATCTGACCTACATTTTCTGGATTAGTGGAAAGGTTAATTTTTTTATACAGGTTTCATTTGCAAGTAACTTTAAGCCCTATGTTGACCAAACTTGCATGTGATACATCTTAGGATGCACACTAATGGACTTGCTTCAGATGCTGAATTCGACATACATTTTCCAGATAATAGACCTCGTAAAAGTTATGGGTGCAAGTCTATCACCAAGAAACTATAAGGCTTATATAAACCAGTTGCACAAATGATGCATCAAGGGATGAAAACTCTCAATCTTGCTTCAGATGCTGGATTTTAATTACATTTTTATGATGAAGAACTAGTTTTTAGTTTTTATATAGGTCTATTCCAAAGTATCAAATTTGCATAAATTTTGCATTTTTGGATGTACACTTTTTGTTGGTTAATTGTGTGACTTAATTTGCCTTACTTAAAGACAACACACGTTGAGGTGAGCTCTGTAATCTCTGATTACCTATGTTTTTATTTAAAATTAATTAGTGTTGTTCTTTTTTGTTGTCTACATGTTCATGGCGACTTGGCCAATTGGAACCAAACTATAGATATCAAGTTTGTATTCTATAATATATTGCATGAAGAATTTTTCTAGTCACACTGTGTAGATATTATGGAAAGCCATGTGGTCTATACAGCCAAATTATTTGATTAAAGTAGAAAGGATGAATTTTGATGGAGGGGTTGTTTGCATTATAATATTACAGGTATTTATTGTATAAAACGGAATTCATATGTTCATAGAATTCAAATGTTGAAAAAACTTTTCTTTGATTTTAATTTTTCTTTGTGTTTTGTTTTTTGGATAGAAGAATGTCCTTGAAGAAAATATTTTGATTATCATAATAGGAATTCTGTAACAACTTTAGCTGATAAATACAATATATTTGTAAGCTGATATAAATTTATGTGAAAACCAATAGAATAGATATTTGGAGCAACTGCTGTTTTTTTTTTTCTGAAAAGAATGAATAAGATTAAAAAACAAACATACCTGTGAATTATTTTTTTTACAATACAGCATTACTTTCTACAAACAAGAAATGCATTTCATGAATGGTTTTTATTTTTACAGTATGATACACATGTTTGAAGTGACATAACACTCTGTAGTTTTTATATTGTTATGCTTCTGATAGGCTTTAGAATAAATTGGAAAATTTACAAGTTTTTTTTCTTGTTAAAACAGAAAAAAAAAAACTTGAGAAGACTAACTTAAATTGCCTTATTGCTAGAATTGAGGTCAAAGTCTTAAAGCTTTTATGATTAACTACTACAAAATCATGTTTAGGAAAAAAAAAACGTGAAAATCTGTGGACAAATCAGTGAGTAAATAATGTCCTAACAATTAGTATGAAAAAAGTCAATCAGCATTTAACTTAATGATAAATTGTCTTTGATGACAATGTCATTGTATTGACCATGAAACTCACAAAATGATGACTTTAAAAATGAGACAACTGATATTCAACTTGTTTGTCAATAACTTACCTCATTTTAGAAATTGTTCATAGGTAGAGCATGTTCTTTCCTATCGAATCAACTGAGAGATATAGACTGTATGCAGGTGACAAGGGTATAAGTAAGGGAAGCTGACGATAGAAAAGGTAAAGTCATCACATTTATCATAAGGTTTTGTTGTTAGATAACCATGTGCGTCTTTTTCTACTAAAATATGAAACAGATGTGCCTCAGATGAAAGCTTGAGCTTTCTGATCACCAAGTGTCTGGCACTTGTCTGTCTGTCTGTTTGTAAACTTTTCGCGTTTTCTCAAGAACCACTTGGCCAATTCTAATAAAAGCTAGTTGGTACAAAGCAGCTGATTCTGAATTTTTGAAATGAAAGAAAAAGTCTTACTCAAAACCCACTAGGCCCGAAAAACTGAAACTTGCATGGAAGCTTTCTAAGGTAGTGTAGATTCTACATTGTTCAAATCATTGCCCTCAGGGATAGGGTGGGATGGATCACAATAGGAATCAGTTTTAGGCCACAACAAATTAATTTCTTGTTTGTCGGACATCTGATGAAAAATGTATGAGTAGGCAAGCAATTTGATAATGATTTTACTTTTTTGAAGCAAAACTTTCAGGCAAGACATAAAAAAAAGTTTGAGTGGACATTTATATTTTTTCTACTTTAATTCTGATTTGTAAAGTAAACATATTTAAAATGTGAAAAAAAGAGATAATTTACACTTTTAAATTTTTTTTTAGAAATATCATTTCTAAGACTTCAAAGAACCTTGAATCATATTGAGATGTATTAAATGAAAATTGTTGCAAGAAAATATTTCATTTTCAAGCTTTTTTTTGGGGAGACATTAAGAATATTTAATCATAGATGTAAGAGTTACTGTTCCTTAGCTGAGAATCGGATAGCCTTAGTTACCAAGGTTATTTGACTCTTTGAACTTGACCTTGGAGTTTGGCCTATTTTTTGAAAAACTTCAACCTTTGCCATTACTTTTGAATGGTTACTGCTAGGGCTTTCATTTTTAATGTGTATACTTTGTGACAAGACCCTTCCTTGGGCACCATTTACTTTTACTCTTTGACCTTGAAGATTGATCTACTTTTGTTTTTTTTAACCTTTACCATATCTTTAAACAGTTGGTGCAAGTGCTTTCTTATTTTTCTTGAATTTTTCTTGTGCCATTAGACCCCTCTCTCTCTCTCTCTCTCTCTCTCTCTCTCTCTCTCTCTCTCTCTCTCTCTCTCTCTCTCTCTCTCTCTCTCTCTCTCTCTCTCTCTCTCTCTCTCTTTTGGGGGGGGGGGGGTGTTTTACATTTTTTTATCTCCCGACCCTGTAGTTTAACTTGCATTTGAGAAACTTTAACCTTCACTATTAGTGTAAAACAAGGGCATAAGTGTTTCACAAATAATTTTCTGACAAATGCAGGCCATTATTTACCAAATGAATCGTCTACGGATTTCTCCGTTTGCCTGGTCACGACAAGAAGCACACGGTGTGTGGATCTGACTGGTCAACGGGGGATACTGACTTTTCCATTACACTTGACCCCATTTGTGATATTTTTATAGGTCCTTGGCTTTCTGTGTGGCCATAGGAACCGGAAGCGCGGATGGGGGGAGGGACTGTCCCCCCTCCCCATAATTTTGACGATATGTAAAATATAGCTACCATCCACTTGTTCCCCCTTGATAATAACGTCTGATGACCTTTTTTGTTTGTCAAAAAATTTGGGTAGTTGATAGCACCCCAGCGAAAATGTAAAACCCCCCGACCCACCGCCCAACTTAAATTGCACATTACGTTTCTGTTCTGCTCCCGCTTTATATGGTTTTAATGAACTTTTAAGCTTGGTTAGTGTTTGTTATCTCCGTATTTCCTCATTGTTCTTATACTGATTACTCCGTCTACCAGATCAATACACTGGCCTCGTCGCGGACGTGACCGGTAGAGAGGGAACGCTTACTCCTCCTAGGCACCTGATCTCAACTCATATTTTTCCATAACCCCTAGTTTTTGTCCTGTCATTTGTTTTGTAAGCTGAATTTATGATATTTATCTCTATATTGGTTATATTCACCTTTTACAAAAAAAAGTCGTTTCAAAAGGCAAAGGGGTTAATAACGACTTTTGCGTAATATAATCACAATTTGCAATCTTTTTTTGTGTGTGTGTGATAAAACGTCTTTTGATTCACATTATTGCGCCTCTGAATGCATTTTCCGCCTATTTTACTGAGCGTTATCGTACAATTTGAAACAAAAAAAAGCAACACCTTTTTCGCATAACACTGAAGCTTCGTTTCATTTACGTTTTAATCCCCTTCAGTCTTATCATGGCAGGCTTTTATATTGATAAATGTATACTTTTTTAACAAATAAATTTTAAAAGTAAAAATGTCCTTATTTATCACATGGAATTAAATTTATTTGAAAGAAAAAAATATTTTTCGTAACGCGTACTTCTTTCGCAAAATCATGTATCCTGTATATAGGAATTTCTACCAGTTATCTAACGTATCTTGCCTGTAGGTTATATTCTAAATGGTCAACATCACCATAGGGGCGGGGCCCAAACCCCCTCTCCTCTTCGAATTTGCAAAGTTATTTAATATATGCACTTAGCAAATAAAAAATGAACTTGGACCACCTCCATGCCCTCTCTCTCCCGGAAACGTGAAGCGGATCCTTTTCCAAGTAGCTGGATGAACTATACGAAGCTTGACCAAACTTCGGGGAATGTTGCATCTTGTTTCTGTATGAGAGATCAGGTACAGGAGTTTCAGTTAGAGCAGATTCATCCCCATATTGTAAGGTGTTCGTGTTATTGAATGTAACATATACCCTACATTGGCCAACTTTGCATGTACATGTATATAAACACAAAATTTTTGCCTGAGATGCGGCATAATTTCTGAACGAAACAAAAAAAAAAAAATTTCTAAAACAGTCGTATACAGACATTATATATGTGGGTATATATTGGTGATTTTGCTTCGGGTGTTGTTGTGACCAAAGTTTTCCAGATGGAAGCGAGGTTAACGTTTCCGAAAGAGGTCCATCCCATGCAATGACATTTATAATAATGTTCATAAATGTACGTTGCATTATAAGATACGTAAAATTGAATGTGTTTCGGGTTGCTTGTAAACGTATACTTTAAAGCCAAAAATACATATCAAAAAGAAGTTTTGGGGTACCTTTTTTTTTTTATATTTGTCATTTACGTACTGATTTTTATTTGAAAATTAAAATAAATACATGGAATTGTGCATGTATTTTAATTTCCAAATAAACGTATAGTGTTCGAGATGTCCTCTGTCCGTCCGTCCATTACGCTTTTTGATATCCATCTCTTGTCCGCAGCTCCTCTTATTCCACTGAATGAAATTGAATAAGATTTTTATAGAATCTTTGTTACATAGTTCCATTGTGCACCCCCTATTTTACTTTGAAACATAAGGAGAAAACGAACAGTATTCAAGATCAAAAGTCCATAAAACAATACAAAGTAGAAACAGAGTAAACACGGACGTCCAAAACATCAGAGGTGGGATCAGGTGCCATGGAGAAGTGAGCATCCCCTGTCGACAGCTCACACCCGCCGCGTGCTCCTTATCATGATCGGAAAATAACGGGAAAATCTGTCGTCAGTTCACTGTAGAGATAATGGACTAACGATAAGTATGAAAAACGTCAGTCAGCAGTTGACTCAATGATAAATTGTATCGACCATAGAACCTACGAAATGATGACTTTAAAACGAGACTGCTGATATTCTTGTTTCATCAACTTGTTTGTCAATAATTTACCTTGTTTTAGAAACTGTTCATACGAAGAGCATGCTCTTGCAATTGAGATAAATGTATATAAACTTCGTGTGCAGGTGATAAAGGTATATTGCTGCATGAAGGGAAGTTGACGATTGTAAAGTTAAAGTCATCACGTTTATCATAGAGATTGGTTGTTAGATTACCATTAACGTCTTTTTCAAGTAAAATATCGAAATATGAAACGGCTGTGTCAGACTCTGTGGTATCTTTTATTTCGCTCTCACTGGGATATAACGTATCGACATAAGAATGGAAGTGTTAACATTGTTGATTGACAATACGTCGTCGAAATATCTAAATGTCGAGTTGAAGGCCACAGCAAGTGTTTTCTTCTTTTCATGTACATGTATAAGATTTTGGACAAATTCTGCTTCATATGAATACAAAAATAGGTCTGCTTATAACGGGGCGCAATTGTACCCATGGGAATTCTAAAGATTGTTGGAAGACTGGTCTCCAAAAACCACATATATAGATATCGTTAATCAGAAACTCAAGCATCTTTTTGATGTCAACTTCAGAGTAATTGTGTGTACTTAAGGAATCACTGTCATAGGACATATATAGCATCAACAATCGTTAATCAGAAACTCAAGTGTAATTGTGTGTACAATCAGAATGTTTTTTAACAAAATTATTTTGCAAATGACCAATGACAGGTCAGACACAGAGACAGATGTAAGATTTAAACCTGCCTAATTTACATTCCGGCAGAATTATCAAGAATTAAACTCCGACAACTTTCAAAGAGTTATCGCAGAGAAAAAATTAGAAATGGAAATATAATCAGATTAATGTTTTTTAACAAAATTATTTTGCAGGTGACCAATGACAGGGTAAGTAAATTTACGAGTTCCATTTTTATTGAAAAAGCAGCTGTCTGTCAATGATATCATAAAGGCTGGACTTCAAGTTAATATATTACGTGGAATGGTTGTGTATATGATTGAAAAACTGAAAAGTCGTAAGTTAGTTAAGCTGTAGATTTTTGTTAAACCTTTTGATTTCAAATTGTCCATAAGTTCCTTTGAATTTTTAAGTATCCACATCTGATTTTTGATCGGAAACATATTACGGGTTTTCCGTAGCAAAACATTGACACTGCCATTTTTTCTATAATATTGAAGGGTACCCACATGATACCCGCAACTCCTCCTATACCACTGAATAAAATTTATATGATATACTTTCACAGATTCTTTATTACATAATGTCATTGTGACCTCCTATTTTACTTTTTGATCTGACATTTATTTCGGGTCTCTCATAGCAAAACATGGAATGGGAGGCGGTGGGTATCATTTAGTGAATTCTGTGCTCACAGTATCTCTGCTTATTTTCTGTTGTAAAAATTAAGTCTCATTACTATTTAGCATTACTAAAATGTTTAGATATGAAATAAGCTGATCTTCATATTTTATCATGATGAAGAAAAAACACAGTGGAAAAGAAAAAATTTGAGAAAAGTTAAAATGTCCAACAGCGGACCCTCTCAGACCTCGCAAAATTCAACCGTGAATTAATTTCAACAATCTAAGTTGAGAAAGTTCTATTGATCACTGAAATTAAAAAAAATAAAATCAACGAGGCGATGAAATAAAATAATAAATATATATAACTATTTTAAAAGATATTCAGTTGTAAATATTTAATTAAAGCTGATATAAAATAATAATTTTTTTTCAAATATATATATATTAAAAGAAAAAAACGATTTTGTTTGTCTTAAGACAGACTTCATTTTACATTCATATATAGGTATCATATTCATACAAAAAAGTAAGTATTATACCAATATTCCAATTGATGATACCACAGTATCCTTTTATAAAGACATCATTTGGTCGTCAATTACGCTTTAACATTTATTTATTTCAATGAAATTGGAAAAATAAGGAATTTATACAAAATCTTTCATTAAATTGTGTATTCAACATCCATATATAAAATTAAAAAAATTAATAAGTAGGTCATTTGCCTTTATTCTTTTTATATATATATATATATTTCTTGCTCTTTATATCAACGGTATTTTTATAGAATCCCGAGATTGTAAAAAATAAAATGTAATGTGATTTTTGATAGGCCTAATGTAATTTTTTTTCCTGAGCTTGGCAAATTCGTTTCTTTCCGTAAGTTCTCGCTAAGTCAGTCGTTCCGTCATTGAGGTCATTAAGATCGAGAACACCAATAAGATGGCGTAATTATAGTCACGTGTGCGGTCCGTTAGCTCTTCGGCTATTTCCGCTGCTTTCTGTGACAAGCGTAAAACTTTCATCAACAGCGGCCATTTTGGGTTGGTGATATTCTAATATTCCGTCTGTTCTACGGTAAAAATACTACCACAGAACGACTCTGGATCCCCAGAGTCCAAATGATTTTGAAGATGAGATATTGTTGAATAATTTAAGGCGGAGAAAAGAGGACTTTATTCATTTTTAAACAGCATGTAAGGTTTTATGTTACTGAATTTTGTCAGGTTTTTGTGATGGACTATCATGGCGAATCGAAATTGGAATTCCAAGGAATAAATGCGCGGATAAAAGACAGTAGCATGGCATATATTGCAACTAACTGGATTTATATATTTGCAAAACTTAAATATCTTCATTCAGGATCGTAAGTAGACTTGATAATATTCAAAACAGTGCCGATTAAAAGTCTTCGGTCTTTGACTTTTGATTCGGTTCATCATGGCCGACCAACTCGAAAGTGTGGAAGGTCCTCCAGCGGCGAAGAGGGCTAAGATTGCATCTCCCAAGCCTTCTGCGGAGGGAGGAGGTAAGTTTTTTTCTGTATGTTCTGTTATGGAAAATGATATAAGGAAATAGTTAATTTCTTTTGCGTATGATCAATCATGTATATAACATGGACCTGGTTCTTCCAGGCAAGAAGTCATTCTACATTTATTGTGTGCTAATTTGTAAAATTTTATAAAAATTGAAGGTGACGAGAGCCATGTAAAGTTAAATAAAAACATTCTTGATATATAAATTTGCAGATTTTAATGATTTGCTCAACATTCATGACATTGTTGATGCACTACCTGATGAACTTATGGGGTCAAGTGACCAAAATGGGATGATGGACCCACATCATTCTATGCAAGACCCATCGAAACAACATGCTCAACTTACTCAACTATTGTCAGGGGCTTCATCAGCATCTAGTATGGTTCCACCAAGCAGTAAAAGTCCGATGCCAAATTTGGGAAGCTTAAGTAACTTAAACAATGCAGCCAAAAGCCCCAGATCTGCGAACTTGTCATCTCCACCACTTGGATTAGGAGGCAAGAATGCTGTATCTCATGTTGGGATGGATAACTTTCCTTCAAACAGTGCTGGTTACTCATTGAACTCTGTGGGGACTTTAGTATCAAATGCAAACATGATGAACAAAAACATTGGACATAACCCTATTAATAGTATGGGTGTACAAATGCCAATCTCAAACTTGGGACAGCAAGCAAGTTCAATGATGTCAAATGGTCCACTTTATTCTGCAAGTGGACACAATCAGGGAAGGGGAAATGTGTCGGGAATGGGTCAGCAATTGCCAAGTATGTCGCAGGCAAATGTGATGGGAGGGTTGAACCAGATGCATGGTCCAAACAACATGGGTGGACATCCAGGCATGGGCATGCAGCAGCAACAAATGATAAAGGTACCATGGATTTCTTAAATGTTATATGATGAAGTGATGGCAAATTTAAAATTGATTTTTTTTCATAGCCAATGTTTGTATGTATTTCATCTTGAAAACATGCAACATTGTAAAGTAGTAAGATAATTAAGTAGTTATTGAGATTTTGAAGTGATGCTTTGGAACATCTCTGTAAAAATGAAAAAAAAACTTTGACTCTGTTAAATGTATGTTTTGTGTTGTTTTCAGCAAAATGGACCTCATGGAGGGAGTTCATTTGGATTTACAAACCAGAATGTTGTAGGACATCCACAGCAAACGGCGTCTCCGAACTACAATGCGACGTCCCTCCCTATGTCCCTCCCAATGTCCCTCCCCATGTCTATGTCATCAAACCTGACATCATCTACCATGTCAGTGTCATCTATTACAAGTACAGTCAATACAGTGAGTACAACGTTTTATGCTGTTAAACTTTGTCTAAAAATTGTAACACTGCTGATGTTTACAATAATCATAATATCAATGCACATTATTTTTACAGCAACCCCAGATGAATGCTGGTGGAATTGTGACAGGTCCAGCCTCAAACATGGGTGTATTACCAGGTTCTAATGCCAATCTGGCTCAAGGAGCAACTGGAACCCAACAGCCACCAACTGCTGACCCAGAAAAACGAAAACTTATCCAACAACAATTAGTGCTGTTACTGCATGCCCACAAGTGTCAGAGGCGGCAGCAGACCAATGGAGAAGTGTGCTCCCTACCTCACTGTAGGACAATGAAGAATGTGCTAAATCACATGACAACCTGTAACGCAGGAAAGTCTTGTCAAGGTAAAGTCTTAAAAGTTAAACTTGTTCATGTCAGTTGTAGATAAAGATTAAGACCTACGAAACTTTAGTTTAGCAAATATGCTTATTTGTAGATGGAGAATAACTTCTCTTTGCAAATCGATTAAAGTTGAAATTTCTGTGTACTTTGAATATTAACTATTGTATGTAGAATATATACATGTACCATTGATGATAGAATACAAAAATTAAAATTAGAATAGAATGTGAATATTTGAAAACTGTTGAATGCAGCATTAAAATATATTTGTTACCAACATTGACATCAAAACTTAAACAACAAACCAAGTATCAATGAATGCTCCTCCTGCTAGTTGCTGATTGAAGCATAGTATGTTTAACTCATTTGAAAAGAAAATGAGCTCTCATTTTCTGTAATCTATCTTAAACTGAAATATGGATTGTGATTATAATATTGAAATACCATATTTTGATAAAATTACTGAATCCATGATATTCCCCCTCTGTAGTTGCCCACTGTGCATCGTCCAGACAGATTATTACACATTGGAAGAACTGTACCAGGAATGATTGTCCAGTGTGCTTACCTCTGAAGCATGCTCAGAAAACAGACAGAACAGGGCAGAATCAAGCTACTGGTAATCCCAATGGTAAGATACCAGTCATATTTACAATTCTTGCTAGAGGTCATTAGGAGCATTTATGTAAACAATAGTTAATTCTCCAGAGTGAATGTGATGAAAGAGCAGGCATAGTCTATGTTAGCCTTTTCACTTTTAAATAGCAGCTATTGAAAGCAATAGTAAATGATAAAAAGTAATAGTAAAGGATATGACGTTGATGTCATATTTGATACCAAGACATACAAGTGCAAGTTACATTTTGAGAATGAAAATTAATATACTATTTCCAATAGCAGTTGATTTTTTTTTATTTTGTAGCATCAACAGTGCAGCAGAACCAGATCAGTCAGTTAAGTGGAGTTGGTACAGCAGCTAACAGAGTGGGGACTGCCACTGGTACAAGCACCCAACCCTCTCATGGCTTGACGGATAGTCAGATGAAGAGAGCTTATGCTGCTTTGGGTTTGCCATTTAACCAACCTAGTACAACAGCAGTTAGACCAAGTGGTGGATTAAATGATGGTATATTGAGCATTACTGTTTTCAAAGTGAGCTTTCTTAATTTATACTAGGTAGAGAAAATACTTGAAAAATATTGTTCGTTTTTTCAGCATCTGGATTGAATGCTAATAGTACTGGTAACCCCCAGAATAACTTGTTGTCTGGGTTCACAAATCCCACTGGCTTGGATCAGCAAAAATCTCAGCAGATTGCAGCCAACACAAATAGTGGTTCCAAGGAGTGGCACCAGAGTGTGACTCAGGACCTTAGAAATCACCTTGTGCACAAGCTGTAAGTAGATATCGAAAAAGTTTGTGGATTTTGAAATGCATCCTTTGTGTATTTGAGAGGAAAGACTAATTACTCCTATTTTACTTTAGTGTTCAGGCAATTTTTCCTACTCCTGACCCAGCAGCCCTGAAAGATAAGAGAATGAATAATTTGGTGGCTTATGCCAGAAAGGTGGAAGGAGATATGTATGATACAGCAAATAGTCGGGTAAGGAAGAACTTGTAGGATGTACTGTGATTTCATGTATATTCTGATTTGAATGTCCGTAAAACTTAAATGAGGCATGATACTTTACATAGGTTCAGTTATTGTAGAAGATTAAGGGTTTTTTCTCTTGAGCACAAGTAAGACATTTAGATAAAGCAGATTATAATGATGACATTTTTGCTAACAGGAGGAATACTATCATTTGTTGGCTGAGAAGATCTATAAAATCCAGAAAGAACTAGAAGAGAAGCGATTATACAGAATTCAGCAGGGTACTGGAGGAGCAGCCAATATGCCTGGAGCAAGACAGAGGCTAAGTAAGTTCTAATGCTGATCCAAATAAACATAGTAGATTGCAGACACTAACATAATAAGGCACTCCTCATACGAGGTACCTTATACAGAACATTATTTTGAGAAACTTATTTTTATGGCTTACGAAGCCATTATAGGTACTGGTGTCTTCCGTATCTTTACGGCAAAGAGTTCACTGTGCATTCTAGTAGACATGAGCAAGATAAAATAGTCTTCGTCATTTCTTTAATTCTATTCTACCTTTGTTGTGAAAATTACTCACCAAGTTTTTAATAAAAAAAACCTTGTTATTTCCATTTAATTCTCGCTACTGAAGACAAGCTAAAGATAAACCAAATTAAAAATAACTAAGTTGAATAAAGTCTTGTGAGGACGCGGAAGAATATCTTTTGACCGTATCTGTAAACAGCGCCACCGTGTAGGTATAGAGTCGATCTAAATGAAAGAAAGAGAACTCTGTCAGGAGTACGTTATCGCGCCAGATAGTTCGTAGGAATACAGATTAATATTTTACCTTACAAACTGTTTAAACAGCTGCTAAAAGCAGTGATTTCCTAAGGCCGTTTTTGCATGGCGGTAACGCGATCACGATCTCCCGCCAACTCAATGTTGTGAACTCAATGCGTATCGCAGCACATGCAATAGCCCGGCCAACTATCAATTTTTGTTCATTGCAATATAATTACTGGTATATATTACTAAGTATCAAGCTTGTAGTTGATGAAAATATTAATTAATAACCATAAAAATGTAATTGATGGCTGACAGATAGTACGGACGGCAAAAGGAATACATTTGTTAATGCACATGCGGGGTTTTCCAACATTCAACAGGTCGTTCTATAAATAACATCGATGATCCGACATGAAAAAAAAAGATTCATCATTTAAACACATAATATTTAAGACATTTTTTTTTTTTTGCATTAATGTACTGAAAATGAAACGTGTGATTAACATTATCAATGTTTATGAATTTACTTTATGAACTCTGGAAAGCACTTAGTTCAAACGCATACATGTGCTTCTAAAACACAGAGACCTCTATATTCAGAAGCGCTCCAAGTAACAATATCTACTTGCAGTAAGCATTACAATTTACATTGGTGCTAATGAGAACAAAAAGTTCAAGATGATTGGAAGACTAGATACATAAAAAAATAAGGGAGGGTTATTTGGGGCCCATCTGTAGATAACAAAATTAGCACAATATACTGTAACATAAAACAGTAAAAAGACAGTGGCTTTAAAGAAAATTTTAGAATTTGTATTTTTCATTTAAATATGAATTTAGATAAAATAAACTCAACTTCCAAGAAACACCTCAGGCCGTCAATTCAGCGACCCCCACCCTTGCTGTAAGAAATTTTTGGGGAGAACACTTAGTAATATTCTAATATACTACATTTCCTTACATTTTACATCCATGTCAAGCACGTAAGCCATTATGGCCCTTCAGGCCTTTGATTGTAATCCTAGTTATATTTTTATTTCATTCAAGTTACTATAATATTGTCATTTTAAAAAAATTATACTTTTTAAGAAGGTATTTCGTATCAATTTGCAGATGGACCTTTGAGTTCATTATTGCCCCAAGCAGGTGGCAACGTTTCAAACGATCCTTTTGGATTGTCTCCAGCAACTCCAATTCCAGACATGTTGAGAGCCCCCAGTCCACGACAGCCTCTCAACAATACACCAGGAGGAATACGTCCTGGTGTTGACAATTCTCACAATTATCAAAATGTAAGTTGAATGTCAATGACTGCAAATTTTGTATGATGATGATCCCAAAAAGTAACACTAATTAATGATATCCATGTATTTGTTTCTAGATTGCTGGAATGACCCCCCAAGATCATTTACAACAAATCAGGAATCGTTTACCGCAGCCTCCCATTATCCATTCGTCTCAACCTCCCCAAGCTTACCAAAATCAAATATCACAGGTACAACTACAAATTCTTAGATTCTAGTCTTTATCTCCAAGGTTACTGTAGTACAACAATTCAAAAAAAAAAAAGCAATGACAAGCATGTATTAATTTCCTTTCAGTCACCATCCACCATGACCCAGGCATCACAAGGCATCACACAGTTATCATCACAAATGGGGTCATCAGTTAACAATCTTCTCAACTCATCAACTTCTCAGCTTACTAGTCAAGTTTCAGCACCGATTTCACAGACAGTTCCGAATTCAACCCAGCCATTTGACGTAAGTTTTATGATTATATTGAAAATATTTTAGTTGTTCAAAAAATAGGTTTACCTGAATGAAACATGAAGGTGAAAACAGTAATTACTCTTAAATGATACAAACTTTAAGCAAATCAAACAAAGGCCTCTAGAAACATCAGAAGTGGGATCAAATGTCATGGAGGAAGAAGCATTACTTATTACTACATGTAAATAAAATTGAATGTAAAATGGAGGTTGAAAATGTCTTTCCTTTGAATTTCAGCCAACAACAACAGTTACGAGCTCTGTGGGCAATACACAAATAAAGACTGAAATAAAACAAGAAGATGGAAGTCAGGCCATCACCTCTCAGACATTGAAGGATGTGTTGATGGCTCCAAGCACCACTGGAAACACACCCAGCACCATGTCATCAGCTGCCACCTCTGTTTCCACCACATCCACTGTTTATACCTCCACCTCCAAACCTATGGACATCAAGCAGGAAGTGAAACAGGAAGTGGAAATCAAGACAGAGCCAGAGATTAAGCAGGAGCCGGGCTCTGTGGGAGGAAAACAGGTACAGTAACTTTCTTTATAGTTTATGAATGGAGGCAGCTTCAATTGCTTTCTTATTAATTATATGTTGATCTACACTATGCATCTAAAATTGATATTTTAAAAGTTGTATGGTCTTTGAGTGTTTCATATTTTTTCCAATGGATATTATCATCTAGGTCTGTACATCTTATGTTCAAATAGCAAAAAATGCTTCTTTAATAATCTTTGCCTTGTGCCTAAGTTGTATGTGGTTTGTCCCAAAGTTCTGTAGGAATTTGGTGTCGTGAATAAATGGAAAGTTTGTGATAAATAAAACAATATACATTTATGGATAAACTTTGATGAATTAGACATGTGATCCCTATTACATGCAATATTATATTGTCTAGTGTAAGAAGGTGGCACACTACCCAAAGATAACAATTTAAGATCAGTATATTTAAAACCTTGTGAAAAGGGAATTAAATGTCAGAATTTAGAAAAATAGAAATGAAAACAGTTGACAGGTGGGCCCTTAAAATGTACAACTCCATTTGAGAAAAGATCTGTATGATGAACTAAAAATTTTAATTTTGGTAATTAGCATATCCCCACCTTAAGAAAATTAATTCAAATTGGTGTATCTTAATTCACAACTGAGATAGCTTTGGATGTTAGTGAGCAGTAACACTGCAATTCTCACTACTCAAATTTTTCTCAATTTCATAATTCATCAACAATTAACATACTTTATCCATTTGACAAGAAAATTTTATAGAGATAGGTTAAATTTTGTAAAAGACCTAATTTGATTGTATTATGATTTGAAAGATAAAGGAAGAACAAGGAGAGAATAGTAGTAACAGTATGGATGTGTCAATGGATTCCAAACCCAACACTGAGGGAGCTGAGAGTCAGGAAGCCAAGGACAGTCCGCTACCGTCAGTGGCCACCCCTGGGGCGAGTTCTGAGGCCACACCAAGTTCTTCCCAAACCAAACAGCCTCGGCAGAAGAAAGGTGAGCTATTGTCAGATAATATGTACCACACACTTTGCTTATGTTACCAATTTTAAGATGACTTTATTTTAGGTTCAGAAATTTAAGACACAATGTTATTAAAGCGGGGGGGGGGGGGGAGTATTTTTGGGATTCCATTCCATCATTTATGTTTCATTATCTAATTATTACTTTGCAGTTTTTAAACCTGATGAGTTACGGCAAGCACTGATGCCAACACTGGAAAAACTTTACCGCCAAGACCCTGAGTCAATGCCATTCAGACAGCCAGTGGACCCAGTCATGTTGAATATACCAGTAAGTGTTTCATTGTATCCAGTAAACAGTAACAGTATAGTATTCTAATTTTGATTTCATCAGTATTTTGTTATATCATCATTCTGTTACGTATTTATTTCCTTGTTTTAGGATTACTTTGACATAGTGAAGAAGCCTATGGACCTGTCTACCATAAAAAGGAAGTTAGACACGGGCCAGTACACAGATCCCTGGCAGTACTGTGATGATGTGTGGCTCATGTTTGATAATGCTTGGTTGTACAACAGGAAGACTTCACGTGTCTACAAGTACAGTTCAAAGGTAATGCAGGAGCAAATTGTAGCTGATGTGTCTTTGTCAAACTTTTTTAAAGTTGAATATTTCTAAAAACTCTTCACTGTAAAATACTTATACATGTAATTACAATATTACATTTATTTTCAGTTGGCTGAAGTATTTGAAGCAGAGATAGATGGAGTGATGCAGTCTTTAGGATACTGCTGTGGACATAAATATGTTTTCAGTCCACAAGTTCTCTGCTGTTATGGTAAACAGTTGTGTACAATTCCCAGAGATGCTATCTACTACAGTTATCAGAATCGGTGAGTCCTGCTTCATGTTTAATAACTGCTATATAAACATTTAACAGTGGCATGATTTTGATTGAGTCAATTTCATTTCTGTAAATGATAAAGCAGTGATTTTCTTCTAAAAGAATAAATTTAATGCATTAAAGAAATATTGATTATCATTTTAGGTAGACACTTTACTTATTTTAATTGTACTTCAATTGAACATTCACATGCATGAACACTCATTTGTATATGCTTTTTTGCTGCAGTTATTTATCTTTGGCTTATTTGCTTTGCTTGTCTTGCAATTTTTGATGTATGTATATGTGTTTAATCTCTGGTTACTTCTTTAAAATTTATTTGAACCAATATACTTTTGCCACCCTTGATGAATTATAGTATATTAATACAATGCAGTCAGTGAGAAAGAACTTGAATGGGTTTATTTGGGGAAAAAAATCATTAATTTTATAATGAAAATGTATCATATATTAGATGTATTTACCTAAAAAGGATGAATACAATGGTAGGACTGCTTCTTTTGTGTGCAATAATGTGTACATTAATAGTGCTTGCATTATTATTCACTTGAATACTGCTCATGAAGATGCATACAGTCATTAGAAGTCATATGTTCAAGATCATGAAAAAATTTATTTAAAATAGTCAATGTTTTTGACTTAAGGCAAGTTTGAGTGACATCCACTCAATTGAAAAACTACAAGGCCTTTCTTAGATTTTAAATCTTATCTGAAGAACATATATATGTTTCTTATGACATAATATTTATTCTTTTTTACCTAAAGACATTATGATTCTCATATTTTTCAATAACTTTACCCTGAATTATGACTTAGTTTTATTCTGTTAGGGGGTAAAGACTTAGTTTTATTCTGTTAAGGGGTAGATAAATGTGAATGGGGTTATTTGAAAGTCTTCTTAAATTTAGTAAATGTGTTGTAGAATTTATCAGTTAAATAGAATGTTTTACACCAACTTATGTTGGGCTCTGTTATTGTCTATTGCGTCATGTTTGACTGTTTCTGTGATGTACACCTGAATCCGAATCTCAGCTTTGTTGAAGGTTGTCTGGCACATGTATTTTCTTTACTTAAGATTTCACATTTATTTTAAAGTTAATGTTCATTTTATAAGTCTTCAGAATGGCTCATGTAGAAAAAATATGTGGAAGCTTTTATTCAATTATTTGCAAAATTTAAGTTTCTTTGAATTACCCCATTCTTCAATTTTAAATAATGACAACCATATAGTGTATGTTAAAGTTTGTTAAAATATGATCTTTGGGGGGTTGAGTTGTGGTCATTCAATTGATTGGGTGTTTTAATTGAGAAATAACAAAATCTTGTATGATCTGCAGAACAGGAAAACATTTTGACTAATATAAATAAAACATTCAATGCAGGAAAATTTTATTCCAAGTCAGTCTTTTGATAGGGCTGTAGTTTTCTAAATAGTGTATTATGTATCATTTTGTTATTTTTGTATCACTTTGATTTTATTTTCATTTAGTTTCTTTTTATTTTGTCATCTTTTTTTTTATTTATTACATTGGTAAATAATGCCTTTATTTTTTCTTCTCTATCTGCTTATGCTGATGTGCCATCGCTGTTGTATCGTATGCTCTTCATCACTGCACATTCATCATATCACCATCATTGCTCATCTCAATGGAACCTCCCATACAGTACAAGACAAAATGGCCTCTTTTCTGACAGATATATTTATTGTGAGAAGTGCTTCCAAGAAATCCAGGGGGACGAGGTGGAACTGTCTGATGATCCCACTCAGCCTGTCACGTAAGTATCACATGTTGACATCATTCAAATACAGAGGTCAACTGAAAAGGTTGAATCTACGGTATTGTTGTTCCCCATGTTTCAATTGTATAGTTATCAAAGTTAAAGCTAAGACTCGAATGATGTATCATGGAACAAAAATCCCATGAAAACATTAGCCCTTAGAAAAAGGTTTCTGGTTCTCAGTCCCGATAGTGCAGATTTAAATATTGTCTTAATAACTTTATCATTAGGGCCCCGCAAGGATTTGCGGGTGCCCTATAGTAATCACTCTGTCCATCTGTCTGTCCGTCTGTCTGTCCGTCTGTCATTCTTCCGTCCACAAATTTTCTGTTTTTTCCTAATAACTTTTTTTTTGGTAGCCCAATTAAGTTCAAATTTGGTATGGTAGTTAGTAGGCAAAAAATTTTGATGTAAATGTCCTCTGGTTTGGAGCTGGGGTGGTGGGGTAGATTCCTTAACTTTATACAAGAATGAATTGGGAAAGAGAGATAACTTCTGAAAAATGTTGTAAACTGAATACTGCAATGTATGAGCCCCTTGGGATTAATTAGCTTTCCTCCTGAAGAAAATCCAAAGCATTATCTTTATCTGTCACATTGAGATTAATTACCACCTCTGTCTGCAAATGAAGTTTGTTTTGAAGTTAAGTCCATTTGGAATGCTATGAACACTATGAAACGTGGATTGAAGTATAAATGTTTTTACTTTATTTTTGTTGAAATAGCCTACACGATGAGTTCTGATTTCATTGTCTTCTAAAAATAAGAAATAGATTAAAGAAGATATAGTTTTTATTTTGATTTGTTTATTTATTTTTTTTTTCTTCATGAAAATTCATGAATATTATTAATTTTTAAGGCAGTTGGATAAAAACCTCATTCTATCATTACTGAAAAAACAATTAATCCCTTGGGATTAATTATCTGGCCTGCTGCAAAATATTTAGAAGGCGTATCTTTATCTGTCACTTTAAGATTAATGAAAACCTTTGTCTGCAACTGCTGTTTGTTTTGAAGTCAAGGTCAAGCCTTCATGATATGTATTTGCATTCATTGAAGGCTGGCATTTTATATAACAAAAGCTTCACTATTATTTAGAAATACATTCAGTGTTGAGTTGTTCTTTACTGCCTTAGGTAAAATAAATACAAGGATATTATTTACAGGTTTTTGGATAATCAGGAATTATCTTGAAATTTTAAGAATACAGTTGCTGTTTCTTATTCATCATATATATTTCTTAAATCATTCCATAAGCTGCACCCTTATAATTCTACCCCATGGCGGGGCCCTTGCTGACTGGTCAGTTTTCTAGTTTTAATAAAAAATGCTGAAAAAATAAAATAAAGAAAACAAAAAATAAAATCACAGATAGGACTTCTCTAGTGTCTTTGGAATATTGTTTGTGCATCATAGTAGAATTCTGCAAGGTGACAACAGATTGTAGCTTAGGTCCAAAATATTTCAATTTTAAGAAGTGATTCAAAAGAACAAGTCAAAGAGTGAAAGTTACATCAAAAATTCAATCTATTCTAGTATGTGCATGGTTTGTATACAAAAAATCAAATACCTCAGGAAAAGATCTGAATAAAAGACCTGAGAACCAGATAACAAAATGGGAAAGGGGATTACTGTTATCTCATTGTATCAGTGTTAGTCACTTTGATAAGAGATATTTTACCCTTGTTTTTATTTTAAAAAAGCTGAATTGTCTATTGTTAAAAAAAAACAACAACAAAAAACACCTACTTCATTGAAAGTATTGTTTTATTCCTGTTTACCATGTACATGATGTAGTGCATCTCTTTTATATACTTGAGTAGAAGTATTGTTCAACTGCCAGTCACTTGATGCACATGACCTTAAAAAGTCAAATTAATGTATGGCACATAATGTGCATAACTATTTTATAACATTTAATAATTTGCTGCACAGATTTCAAGTTTTATTGTAGTGATGAAATATTTAGCTTCATGCTTGTGCTTTTTGATTTTCTCCAGAAAAATTTCAAAGACCCAGTTCACAAAGATGAAAAACGATCAGCTTGATTATGAACCGTTCGTGGAATGTGAGGAATGTGGAAGGAAGATGCATCAAATATGTGTCCTACATTTTGAACCTATCTGGCCCAATGGGTAAGTAATAAATTAAGTAACTTCTTGACCTATTCATACTAATAAAAAAAATTGCAGTGGTGTTGTACAAAGTTTCCAAGACTTATGCAAAATTCTTTATTGTGTGCTATTGACCCATAGTAAAGCAAAGAAAAAAGTTCAGCTAGAGAAAAAAAATAGAAGATTTTGGGCTGATGTAAGCTAAAGAAAAGTGCCTACCAACTAATTAGTTCAAAACCTCTAGCAAAGCAGTTATAATTTTTTTTGTAAGTTTCCATTACCAGCTTTTATAATCTTAAAGAATACTAAATAAATTGTATTTGATTTTTTTCAGGTTTACTTGTGATAATTGCCATAGAGCGAAGGGGACAAAGAGAAAAGAAAATAAATATTCTGCCAAAAGTGAGTAAAATGATGAGATGAAGACTATCGTTATTGTTTAATTTTTTCTCTATGAGACATGTCTGAACCCTTCATTTATTTTCTGTTTTAGATTTGCAATACTCTGGTATCCCTCCGACTAAGTTAGGTACATACCTGGAGAATAGGGTAAACAACTTCCTGAAGAACAAGGATGCTGGTGCTGGGGATGTTACAATTAAAGTGCTATCTAGTGGTGAAAAAATGGTGGAAGTCAAACCAGGCATGAAGGCCAAGTCAGTATACTTATTTGACTAATTCAGATATATTCATGTAGAAAATACAGAAAAAAATTGATTACAATCCCTTCCTATGATATTTTTTAAGCAGTATAATATACTTTTGTCTTGGCCAAAATTAGAAAATAAAGAAAAGTTTTTTTCTGTTGCAGGTTTTGTGACAATGGTGAGATGGAGCAGGCTTTCCAATACAAGGCCAAGGCAATGTTTGCTTTTGAAGAGATAGATGGAACAGATGTTTGTTTCTTTGGAATGCATGTACAGGAGTATGGTTCAGACTGTCCCCAGCCTAACAATAGGTGAGAACTTGTCTTACTATTTCTTACAAATATAGCATTATTAAGTGTTTGGTTTTCTCCAGTTCCGAGTTTAAAGATATCATTAACAAATGTATGAATCACTTTTGATAAAAAGATTAAATGCTGCATTCATTTATTTCTGTTTTTAAATGCCATTGTTCTTGAAAAAAAAGTGTCTAAATGTATTAAATTGTAGGAGGGTGTACATATCATATCTGGACAGTGTCCATTTCTTTCAACCACGCCAACTGAGAACTGCTGTGTATCATGAAATTCTGATTGGCTATTTGGAATATGTGAAGCAGCAGGGTTACACCTGGGCTCATATCTGGGCCTGTCCTCCCAGTGAAGGGGATGACTACATATTTCACTGTCACCCACCGGAGCAGAAAATTCCCAAACCAAAGAGACTGCAGGAGTGGTACAAGAAAATGTTGGACAAAGCAATCATTGAGCGATGTGTGATAGATTATAAGGTAAGATATAATTTACCTTATTTGTTGATGTATTTTGGTATACTGCAGTTAAGTCAAGAGTGATGAATACATGAGTGTTCTGGTTTTGAAAAATCTTGGTTATCAGAATTTGGTTAAAAAAAATACAAAGTGAAAGAATTTTCTTATTGAACAGGTATCAGTTAAAAGACTTTTTAAAATGATCACTTAAGTAGATATGAAAGGAGTCCATACTGAATATTAGGTTTGTAACATGGCACTTTTCTTTTACAGGATATTCTTAAAGATGCCATAGAGAGCAATGTAACCAGTGCTACTCAGATCCCCTACTTTGAGGGTGACTTCTGGCCCAATGTGTTGGAGGAGAGCATTAAGGAGTTAGATCAGGAGGAGGAGGAGAAGAGGAAACGTGAAGAGGCCGAGGCTGCAGCTGCTGAACAGGAGCCTGAGTGTATTGACGAGGGGGAGGGCAGCAACCAGGTAAAGCAACGTAAAATAGTCCACACTATACACACAGCTATAAACGAGGGGGGGGGGGCAGCAACCAGGTAAAGCCTGTAGTAGATCTCAATATAAGATGTTAATGACCTCACCACACTATACACACATTCAAGTATAGAAATGTGAATTTTAAAGTAATATACGCCGTATGGATGCCGATTTGAATGTGAAACAAAATGATTAAATGATTTGAAACACATAAAGTGTAATGAAAAAATAATATTTCCACAAAATTAAACTATAAAACTTGTTGTAATAACAGAACAATAAAGCAAAACCTGCAATCAAGAATTCAGTCTTTTCATGAATATTGATAAAGGAAGGTCTAAATATCTCAATATAAGATGTTAATGACAACGATTATTAATAAAAGGTTAATATGCGTCATAACATATATATAATTACATTTAAAGATAAGTTATATTAATAGTAACACGCCATCCATGTCAAAAGTGAGTTGTTTTTTGCACGTGTTTGTTTATCAATTAAAAGTGTTGGTGGATTTACTTAAAAAAGACATTATTCTCCTTGCAGGATTATAAATCATTATAATTTGATAACTTAATAACGCGTTTTATTTTAATCGTGTATTTTAAAGTATTTTTATTGGTAAACAAAATATATAAATTTCCAGCCGTATTTTAAAATGGCGCACGTTATAGCGTATATAACTTTAAAGTAAGGATGTAAAGGAAAAAATGCAAGAAGGCATTTGGGGATTTCATTTGCAGACTTTATGATGTTTTTTGTGATTATGAACTTACACAATGTAATCATTTGTAGGGAGTTGGAAAGAAGAAGGGCAAGAGTAACAGAAATAAGAAAGCCAGCAAAAGCAAGAACAGTCAAAGAAAGAACCCAAAGAAAACCAATATGCCTCATGGTGGCAATGATCTCACCCAAAAAATTTATGCCACAATGGAGAAGCATAAAGAGGTATGAATGATGTTGAAAAATATTAATTGCAGAAAATTATCATGTTTTATTTTGCAGTATTGTACAAATTGAAATGAAATCATATCATATAAAGTATGATGTTTGGAAAAATTATTGTAGGTGAAATAAGGTATTAGTTTATAAATATTTTTTTACGTGAAATCTTCAAGAGTTCTGGTATTTTTACTATTCTTACTGTTATATAGGTATTCTTTGTGATAAGACTCCACAGTCAGGCCTATGCCTCTCAATCACTTCCTCCAATCAATGACCCTGACCCCATGATCACCTGTGACCTGATGGATGGTCGTGATGCTTTCCTCACAATGGCTCGGGATAAACATCAGGAGTTTTCTTCACTACGGAGGGCTAAATACTCAACCTTGGCAATGTTGTATGAAATTCACAATCAGGGAAGAGACAATTTTGTGTACACATGCAATAACTGTAAAGCCCATGTGGAGACTCGCTGGCATTGTACTGTTTGTGAAGTAAGTATTTCTGTATTGTTGTGTATGTACATTATTTATTCTGCTTTAAAGTAAGTCTTTATGCTCATATTACAAAATTATTCATTGTATTGTTTCAA